GTTTTATAAAATTATAGCTTAAACACCTTAAATAAAGCTTATACGCGTTTTTAAGGTTCACTGCTTTACAAAAACATCAATCAAAATAGCAGAATAAACAAAAACTGAGTTTTGGGTTCACCCTTTTAAAGTTCTAAAAATTAATTTATATATTTTTTAATTTTAGTTAAATTTTAGGGGGGTGTACTTGATTCACGGGGTTAGGGGAGGGCGGCATATCTTGGTTGATTTTAAATAAAAACGGCTAAATTAAATCATCGTTTTATTCACACCGTAAATCAAGTACAGCTCCGCCACTTTTAGAACATATGTAACTGCTACTATATATAGTATATATATATGGCTTACTTCGAAAAAATGCAGAAACTTCTTCGTCGCCTAAAGATATACAAAATTATCTTAATGTAATTTCTTAATAAAATAATAAGCTAAATATCTCAGTATTATTGACGTATCATCTCTTTTTATTTCTTTAATTAATTGTTATACAAAATTAAAAGAATACCTTCTGTACCTTGGCTGCTCATTTCTAAAATATAATCTTAATGTTTATTCTATTGGGTCAAAAACATATTAACTTCAAACATATTAACATGGTAATTATAAAATAAGTTTAGTTTTTTAAATGAAGATTACAATAATTAAACTTGTAGATACAACCTACTTCTCGTCCCTCGCTTTGCAATTGTTATAATCGATATGAAGACCACATGGCCGAGTTTTATTGGTTTTAGAGTACAGTTGGCGTACATATCATAATACAAAAATCAGATGGTTTTGAATCTATTAATTAAGCTGTTTTTATTAAAGGATTTGGTGGATTTAATTAGATAACCGCAAGGTAGTTTTACAGTGGTTTAAAAGTTGGCGTACGCTTCGTAATACAAAAATCATTTAATATTTGTTTATATTGTAATATTCGAGCATTTCTATTAGCGGATTAGGCGAAATTTTGTGGGTTTTCTGTTTGTCACCTTCTGGAGTAACTAAATTTTTTTTTTTAGGTTTCAGATTACAATTTTTTTTTCATACCTTTCCGTACTTTTTAGGACTCTTGACCAGTTAGTTTTAATAAAAATTTCAGATTGCATGTAAAACCTTTTTTTTATATATATAAGAAAGAAATTTATCTCTTTAATGTGTGTTGAACTCGCAGTTTTAACTAATTACCTAAAACATAAGTATCTCTATCATGATATATGCGCAACAAATTTCCAACAGCGTTTTTATGTTTTTAAAAATTTTTAAAAACGTTTTAAAAAATTCTCTCCGTTTGGTTTCTTATAGTATATTTTCTCTTTATTTTTATGTAATGCGTATAACATCTATATTCATTTAAACATGTTTTTCTTTGTTTTCTAGAAAACTGGATAGGATTTAAAAAAAAAATTGTGTAAGCAAAAGGTTTTGAACCGAAGCGAAGCACTTCAATCGCTGTGGAATGCTATATCATCTTTTTACACTATTTAATAAACAGAAAACTTATTAAACTTTAAAATACAACATTTAATGCTTTAAAATAAAGAGATATTGTCGCATTGAAATTATTAAGTAAAAATAAATCGGTAGAATTTGATGTCATCTACTTTATAATTATACTGATTGATAATTAAAGAACTTAAAGTTTACATATTTAGATATTTGAATAGACTTTCGTTCACATTGATAAAATACAAATCATAACGGATTGTGGTTGCGAAAAAAAAGGTAAATACACTACCATCTATAATTATTGGAAAGGTCATATTTTTTAATATCAAAGATATCAAAGTTTGGCGAAAAAATGAAAACAATGTTTACCTGAATACTATGTTATCTTTCTATTTATTAGGTTTACCAATAAAACTTTCCTGATTAGTTTATAATTTATTCAAAGCCCTGATTAGCTTTTAATTTATTTGCCTATTAATCACCCTTAACAACAATAACCGCCATAAATATATTCTTAGCATTCTACTTAACGACTTATCTAATTAGTCTATTTTGTCACTAAGTATAAAAAAAAAAAAAAATACCCATGTATTAACTGAATATTGATTTATTTATCACTTTAATTTAATATATATAATATATAATTTAATATTTACAATTTAATCTAATTAATAATATTTAATCAATTTAATCTAATTAATATAATTGAAATACTACTAATCAATTTACTGATATTTTTTCTATAGCATTGTTAAAAATGGTCATATTCTGAAAGGTAAAGAAATTTATTGAAAAGAAAGTTGCACAAAAGAAAAAAAAACTAAATAAAAGTTATTCGTTTCAAAAAACGTTTTACGAAAAGTTTTTCCAAACAATTTTATTTTTAATTGGGTTTTCTTTGAATTACGTCATAAGCATATTAAGGCGTTTTGAAAAACAGTTGCTGCATGTATTTATAGTAAAAAAGTTAATGTAGCAAAATAAATTTTTAATTGTCAAAAGAAAGTTTTAAAGTTTTATCTAGTTACAGGCTTTTTTTTTTTTGCCTCCACAGGAGCATCTTATGAAGTAGCAGGGCTGTCTTGTTAAGTTTTTTCTTTATTAAGTTTCAGACAACTTTTTTTTCAGACCATCCGCAGCTTATAAGGACTAATTACATTCGTACATTAATAACATAAGTGTCTCAATTATCATAGATACGCAACATATTTTTTCTCCTGGTGATGTTTTTTTTTTTTTTAATGTTTTATGAAGTTTTAGCATTCTCAAAATCTTTTCTTTTGTGAGTGCATAATATCGTTACGTTACATATGTTTGTATATAATCTTTATAAAACTTCGAAAGTATTTTGTATTTTAAAATGATTAAAAAAATTTAAAAAAATAGCCGCTTTTGGTAGGAGTCGAACCTATAGTTCCTTGTTCAGAAGTTCGCCGCCTTATCCACTCGAGCTACACCGGCGTATCACCAAGGGAAGATTTTATAATAATGTAGTTATTTTTTTGAGGAAAAAAATGTTAGATCAAAATTAAGGAGAGGTTGACGCAATGTAATTTTCAAGTAAAAATCAAACTGTAAAACGTAATAAATGTTTCAGTATGTTTTAACATATGCTTTAACATTACATAAGTTAAAGTTTACGTACGTTAGATGTTCGTTCACGTTTTTTTATAGCGCTGCGACTCTTTCTTGCCAATACCTCGGTTGCAATGGCTGCCAAGGGTTTCGTGTCAAATACGCTCCAAGGGACACTACTATTAAAACTATTAAGTTCGGCAATATTATATAGAAGATAAATATATATATATATATATATATATATATATATATATATATATATATATATATATATATATATATATATATATATATATGTATATATATATATATAAATATATATATATATATATATATATATATATATATATATATATATATATATATATATACATATATATATATATATATATATATATATATATATATATATATATATATATATATATATATATATATATATATATATATATATATATACAGTATTGGCCAAAAGTTTGAATCCACCTCAAATTTTTAACATAAAATTGCCTTATGCTCACTCCATAAACATATCGTTACTAAAATGTTACACAACTGTTGTAGATTATCAAAAACATTGTTATGTATTGTTACATTATTAATTATTACAAAATTATCTGTATTTAGTATGGTATCCCTTTGCAGCTAGCACCTGTGCTATACGAGAAGGCAAAGAACGCGCTAACTTCGGACATATATATATATATATATATATATATATATATATATATATATATATATATATATATATATATATATATATATATATATATATATATATATATATATATATATATATATATAGAATATTTATAGAAAACATATATAGAAAACTAAAATATGTATAGAAAACAAAACAGCATAAAGAATGTATGTATATACTATATTGTATAATAATATATGTATACAGTCAACATTCCTATAACGCGATGAATTCGTACCGCTTTGTATGGGAACCGTGTTATAAGAACTCGATTTGGCAGATGCATTTTTTGAAGACCACGTTATGAGGAACACACAAGTTATCAAAATATATATTTTTTGATATATAACCTTAATCGCGTTATATGGAAATCTCTGTCGTGTTATATAGAAACCGCGTTATAAGAAAAATAGAAGTAATATAAATTGAATCGATTTGTACCGCGTTGTATAGAATCCTAGAAATAAATAATTTTTTTGTTTTTTTTAGGAATAAATAAGTTATGCACAAATAAATTTACTTTAGTCTAATTTTATTGTATATGGTAAGTTATTTAAATTAGAAATTAAAAACTGAGCTTAAAAAAAAATTGTTTCAAACAAAAAACTAAAATGATGCATTGTAAATTCTGTTCTTATTCGTCATCGCTGTCAAATATTAGATGTCCAATCCGTCTTCTTTTCTTTCCTCTAATTAGTTGATAATCCTCTTCACTTTGAAAATTTTCTTCTTCGTTTTCAAAAGTAGTTTTATTTTGTATTTCTTTCAAAACCTCTTTGTATGGAGCTACCCAGCCAACCAGTGTACATGGGTCCCGTAAGGGACTTATATGGGCTTGGATACGGGACCCATAAGGGTTTCCCAACGGGATCCCAGCGGGTGTTGTCCACGGGCCCCATATGGGAACCGTAAGGGTTGCTGCTGGGCTGCCCATAAGGCTCCCAGACATTTACCATTTGTTTGCCCTTACGATTCCCATATGGGCTCTGTTATTTCGCTGCGATTCCCATAAAGATCCCGTAAGTTTCCGATTTCTTTTCCACTAATTGGTCACATACGGTTTACTTATAATGCGTGTTTTAATGTTTTTATACACAATTCAATCATACAATGTCTGTACGTAAACAAAAAATATTGAACTCTATATTTTTTATTGTTTATGAACATGTGCAATTTACAAATGGATGTAGGCATAAATGCGTATATTAAAATTATTGATTACGCAAATCAGCTCGATATTTTGAAGACTTTATTAAAAAAAAGTAACTCTTACATAAAATACTACCGATTTTGATAAATTTTTTCTTCATTTATAAAAAAAAGATTAAACAAAATACAAATCATATTGAAAGAGATCGGTAGATGCTTTTTTTGACCATCAATCTCAACTGAGAGCCGTCTTTGTAATTTTCGTGATTGCAAATCGACGACCATCAGTGCCACGATCTCTAGCGTTAGAAAACCATTTCGACAATTCAATTTCAATATCTTTAATAGTGAATTGTTTTGTGTTTGGGTTCAGTTTCACAGCACCTATGATTGCAATGAAACTACACTGTATTAAATTAATCAATTAAAGTAATCAATAATAACTAGGGTTATGCATAAATTTATATTACTTACTAAAAAAAACTTGGCAAAGCAATAGTGCTTTAAACGATTTCTTTCCTTTTTGCCCTGTCAAATTGAATTGGCGAGCAAGAAGGCCATCAAGTAGAACAGGCATCGCTCTCATAATAAAATTTCGAAGGTCTTCACCACCAATGTCCGATAAATGTTTTGCCTTAAAGAAATGACATAAAATAAAAAAGATGTAATTGTCACGTTCGATCACACTTCTTTTAAACAAGCCTTACTCGACAACATTTTAAACCGAAAAAGTTTTTTATAAAATGTTAAGAAACAAATTTTAATACACAAGTTAAGTTTAATTAGAATTAAAAAATTTCATCTTGAGCACATCGAGTGATGCGGCTAAAATAAGTTTAAAACTCTTATCAGTAAGAAATCAGCAAAAAAAATTATTTTATTTCTCCTTCCTGACTTCTGATTATTATATCATTACCCCTGATTGAGTAATGATATAATTAGTCTACCATCAGAGTTCAACCCACCCATGTTACTTTTTAAAATTAATCCTTACTAAACTTGAGTTAAATTTGTAAACTATTTTAAACTCACAAGAATTTTTTTTTTCTCTGCGCAAAGTAACTTTTCCTCCAATGTGTCAACTTCAGCTATAGATGTCAGTGGCAATTTTATATCTTCTGGCAAATCAAATATTTCTTCTTCATTCACTCGCACTTTGTGTTTAATAGAATGCAGTAGTGATGTATGTACTTTTAGAGTTTTTTTTATCTCCTCAACATTGCTAACCAAAGTTGTTATCAAATTAAATATAGTTTGCAGGTTAGCAGTTTGACTTAAACCGGAGGCTAAATAAAAAAATTAATGCAAACAGTTATCTTTAACCAGTACTGCAGATTTAATAATGTAGCACTCAAAACAAACCTTTTTTTTTTGAATTTTTAAAACATTTGTATTTAGCCCATTCAGAGAATGGTTCATATTAAACCTTTTGAACTTTAGCAGTTTGTCAAGATTTAAAATAGTGTAAATTATGTTGTTACTTTAGAATTACCTGCAATAGTAGAACTCAACATTGGAACTGATGTTGCGCATTCAGGAGTTAAAGCAATAGGCGGCGAAAATTGTTCGCTATTCCATATATTCAAGTCATTAAAATGTTCATCACTAATTAAATTGATAATAAAAACTAATTATACAAATATTTTTTCACCAGCATGTTACTTTTTAATTTACTTAACACACACATGAAAATTTTTAAAACATTACTAAAAGTAAGATAATCAATTTAAAGCTTTAATACAAATACTTTCAAATTTTTTTGAAACATTCTGGGATCCATACTTTGCATGGTATGCATCTACGGCTATATACTTTGTGTGGTTTGGAAAGGTGGTAATAACATTATTTTTTAATGAAAATTACATTATAAAAAGTTTGAGCCAAATTTTTGCAACTTTATGAATTTCTATATCATTTATTTAGAACATTATATTAAATTATATATAAATAAATCTTGGTATACACACAAATAATGAAACTCACTGTTGCAACTGATGATCAACTCTGAATTTGCTGTTTGATGAGAGTTTGTAATAGGGTTGCTGGGGCTTTTTAATGACAAGAGTTGAATTTGCTAACATCTTCTTTCTTTTAAAATACAAAAATAATCTCAAACAATGTTAGTGTCTACAGGTAATAAATATAAATATATCTATAATTAAGGAAAAACAAAAAAACCAAACTTGTAAAAAAAAAATTACTTTGGTTCTACACTGTGGAATAGATCGTTTTCAGAATCCTCATTTTCACTTTCTCTGTCATAACTGATCTTTGTCACTCTAAAAACATCAATATAAAAAAGACAAGAACATAACATTTTTTTTAAAATATAATCTGACATATTGATTGATTAACTATACAACAAAAAATAGGTTGAGCATATATTCATAAAAAAAGCTATCATTGCTTTATTATATTATTAACAGCTCAATGACACAAAAATTAAATAATCAAGTTTTTTAAAGTAAAATTATTGTGCTTATTTAAAATAAAATGTTTTGATTTATTTATAGATAAACAAAAAAGTCATTAAATGCATACCGTCTTTTTTTGTTTTTCCTGAAAGTTCCTGAACTTTCTTCTGTCTCCTCAAAAGCATTTTCCAAACTAGATGTGTCTTCAGCTATTTTGGCTTTTTGACGAGCATTGTTCAGATTGTCTAAAAATTTGTTTCAAAATAAAAACTGATAAATAGTCATGTATAAATATACATTAAATGAAGAAAATAACCTATATGCAAAAAAAATTTACTAGCTAATCCCAGCACCCTTGCTATGTAGAATGGCCAATTCATCTCTGCATCATAACTGTTATTTTTAGCTTTAGTAACAGTGTTGGGATTTTTGAATGGTGGCCAATGGCACTTTACTGATGTGTTATTTGTAATCATTAATTGGATATTATTAACATCCACTCCCTCAAGCCATTTTAATGGAACATAGTCTGTCTCAGAAGTGGTATCAAATGCAACAATTGCAAACATATTTTTACTCAATTAATTTTACTATAAACTAGCTTTAAGACTTACTTTAAGAACTTTAAATGTAAATTTAAAGTTCTTAACTTAAGGATTTTTATTTATTTTTTGTTTACACAAAAGTAAACTTTCAAACAAAAAAAAAAACAAAAAAGATTTCCCACTATACTTTTTATACGATAAGAAATAAGAAATGCTTTAAAGCTTTTAAATATAATAATTATGTATCTTTTTATTATAATGTTTTTATAATTAAAGTTTTTAAAAGTAAACTTTCTATTAATAAATACTTTCTAAATAGAATTTTTTTCATAATAGTTGAAATTTTAAAAAAAACAACTTAAAAATAAAAAAAAGACAAGCACAACTTTCAAAAAAAAAAAAGTGATATATATATATATATATATATATATATATATATATATATATATATATATATATATATATATATATATATATATATATAAATGCCATTGAAAATGTAATAATACCAAAAAAAACATGATTATTAATAAATACTAAATATATAACAAACATTAATACATAAATTATTTATTATTTAAAACTCAAGTTTTTATACACAATATTAACTTTAGTAAAAATGCATTTGAGGGATTACAACAAAACCATTTTTATGTGGCAACAAATAATATTTAGTTCTTAATTTTTTCAAAGAATAAACTTTTACAAGATATGAAAGTTTTTCAACATAGAAAACAGACAGTAAAGATGAGTCGAGTGGATCTGTAAAAAAAGGCTCCTTACGCTCAAACTCTACATAAACAACAATAGCATCAGATTCATTTGAATCATTTTCAGCAAGAATATTTTTAACTAAACAAACTTTGTTGTCTATTGCAAAGCAGTTGTTTCCATTTTCGTTAGAAACAAGAAACTGAGAACCAAAATATTTTTTATATTGTGAAAGGTGGCATAATGGCAATGGAACTGGACCTTTGAAGTGTATTTTTTTAAATTTAGATTTGAAATCAACACCATTTGTTTCAGAATGTTGTAGGTGGCCCTCTGACAATCTACATACAATTTGTGTAATTGGAGACTGTGGGCTGCGAATTAATTTCTTAAGCCTTCCTAAATAACTTTCAAAAGGAAAAGAAGATATATTGTCTAGCACTCCAAATCTTCGAACATCATCTGGGAAGTGTATCAATGAATGGACGTTATACACACACTGGTCATTTCCATATAACATGCAAAAATTAGATAAAAAATATTTTAATAATTCTTGTGAATAATCTACATAGATGTTACATAAGAATGGACTAATAAGTATTCTAATAGCTACTGACAGACACAGAAAGTTTACATATAATTCTTTAGGCAAAATGCCTTTTAAAACAACAACACCAGAATATAAGAGAAATTGTCTTAGTTCTGTAGCCTTCCAATGTTTGTATTCCAATAGTGAACTAGGCTTGCGTGCAAATTCTCGAGGAGTATAAGTTTTCATTGAAACAAGTTTATTGGATATAAAATCTATTGTTGTCCTTGATAGTCGATAAGCAGACAAACCATGTATCCATTGATTTATAAGTCTACGTACAACTCCTAAACAAACCAAATGCATGTAATCTAGAGGAAATCCACTAACCAAGCCTATATTTAGTTGCAATACAGGAGATACGAACGAGATACAATGATGAGCAGGGTCTGCATTATTTCGGAAACCACTGTCGGTTCGCAAAACTGCAAATAAATTAGGCATAACAACTTTCCCAAGCCACTCTCCAGTTTGCACACACCTTTCACAAGAATTATAAGCATTGGGAGGTTTAATGCACTTTATAAAGGCCCGTGCTGGTGCATCACAAATAATTGCATCTAATTTAATAGAGTAACATTTGCCACTTTTTTTAAACCCTGTCTTCTCCAACATAATCATTTCTGAAACAAAATCTTCCATATATTCAGTTAGAGATGTTGGTTTGCTTTTGCTAAAATAGATTGCAATCGGAAATAGACACCATCCTGTGTTTTTAACCGAGCAAAGTATAGGCCACATACTATTTGTTGAGCTTTTAAAAATTGGGACACCATCAATATTAATATGCAAATTTAATTGATTTATGTTATTATTGAGAGGATATCTTTCCGTAAAAATAGAAAGCCAATACTGTAGGCTAAAATAGAAATATTCCCCACCAGCAACATTTCTAACGTTAACATTTCTACAAGTACTAAGCAATGCTCTTGCATCTTTTGGCAAATCAGGATGTAACTTGTGCAAAAAACCAAGCAAATTGGTACATGCTATTTGAGAAATGTTATACTTTACTGCCCAAGAAACTAACTTATCTTTTAAAGTTTCACTTTTATCGAGTTCTTCAGTGTAATCAGTATCCTCTTCATCACTGTCATCATTAATTCGAGCAACCCATTCTGGTAAGTCATTAAACTCTTCAGTGTCACAAGAGTCATCGAGCAGATAATTGAGATCATCATTAGAACTACTCACATCAAGTAATGGCAAATAATTAATTGGAACAGTGGAACTTGAAATTTGTACCATATTTATTGGCAAATTAATACTATTTGCTTCAGAAACACATGTTGATACATGTGAGTCAGGTATACTTAAACATGCACTATTTAATATTTGTGAAACCACAACAGCTATCTTACGCTTTTTTGTACGTTGTGAATAAAAATAGCTCATTCCAAATAAACTCTATTATACATTAGATTTAAATTTCTAAATGGAAAAAAATTATTAGTACAAGCTAAAAATGATTGTTTAATAATTATACTGTGCAGATAATTGCTTACCTGCATATTATAGGTCACACAATTTAGATAAAATAGGTAATAAAAACATATTGATTAAAAAAGCAAACAAAACATATAGGTATTAAAAAAAGATAAAAGTAAAACGTAAGGACTGACATTAAAAACAATGGACAACTCTTTATGATTGATTAAGTTCATTTTAAAATCAGTAACATCAAGAAAAAAGGTCTTCTTTGTATAACTCAATTTTATATAACTTTTTATTGCAGTTACAAAGATGGATGACAATATACAGCTATATACTTAGTTTCAAATAACCTATACAGACATGTCATTGTTTAGATTTATATTTTTAATTCAAAATGTTTCAACAAATAAAATATAAAAATCAGTCTAAATATACGGCCGATTCCATGAAAAATGTAAGTTAAATTTTATTTCGGTAATAAGTTCGCCCTCTTTTTGCCAGAATCAAAACACTTTTAAGCTTATTTTATTTTACAGAGTCTGAAGAATAAAAAGGTTTTATGTGGAATAGGCCATATGCAAATGCTTTTGTTCAAAATTAATCAAAAATATAAAAAACTTTTAAATTACTTTCAATTATGCAATATAAGAGTTGGCTTTTTTACTTTGATAGTTTAGGTACATAAAGTAGAAATATTCATATTATAAAATTAGAGTGAAATCTGTTTATTGTAAACAGTCGTGAAAATTTATTCATCAAAATTTGAGTAACATAACATAAAAGCAATTCTAAAAGAAATTTAATTCTTTCATTAAAGGTTCAATTGCACCTTTTTATCAAATTAAAGAATTTAAAAAAATATGATATAGGTTAAGTTTCACAACAAAACTAGGTAAATTGCTTAATTTATGAAATTGGTATAAATTTTAGGTGGTAAAAGTGCGAATCAGCATTGTGCAAGTCAATTTTTCAATTGATTTTTTTAGAGTTTTGCTAAAGTTTTGTTAGGTAGTTTATGTCAACTAATTTGATTTACCTAATTATATCTGACTAAACCCTATAAAAATATTATAATTAAATTCTGTCTGGGAGTCATTTTACTGATAAACATTAATGATATGCTTTATCAAACACAAAATCTTATATTGAGACTGGATGTATTATTGAGCTACTTTGTCCTTAAAGTTAACAAACTAACAGCATGCAATTTATACAATAGGATATACAATATTACAACATAATACAACATTAGTTTATCCAACTATAGTTACTAACTTTTTCTTCGCAATTTACAGAAGAAAAAGATAGATTAGTGTTTATTTACTAATTTATTACTGCTCTGTTATTTAAGATCATTAAGCAGGGATTATGTAAATTACACTAACACACTTTACATATATAATATATATTTTTTTGTAATCTTTTTTTTCAAGTGTGTGTGTATATATATATGTGCACATACGTGTATATATATGTGTATGCATATATGTATATATACATATATACATATATATATATATATATATATATATATATATATATATATATATATATATATATATATATATATATATATATATATATATATATATATATATATATAAATAACACGCACACACACACACACACGCAATGAGTTGCATAATTATTTGGTTTTGAAAATTAGAATTGTTGTAATAATAATAAAATGTTACCTTATAAACCAATTTACTACGATCTTTCTGAAAATAATGTATAATATTTTATTTAAAAACTCACTTTTTAATTTCAGTTTTAAAGATTAATTAACAACATTAAATCTTTTAAAAACAATTCTTCACATAAAATACATAAAAATCAACTTAGCTTTAATGTGCTTCAATAACATTAATTTACCATGCTGCATGGTAAGTTAATTTTAATGAGGCTCAGCCAAGTAGTTGTCATGATGTAATCCATGAAAAAAGTTTAAAAAGAAATCTTGATAATGTAATTAAATTAACGCATGGAAAGATAGACATCATAATGGTAGACATCATTCACTAAGTTATTTACAGGAAACAATTATTTCCTGTTAATAACTTTGTGAATGCATTATGTTAATGCATAACTTGTGAATGCATTATTTTAAATACATTACTTTGTGAATGCATTATTCTACCTTTCCGTGACATGATCCATGCCATGGACCATGCGTTAAATGCCACGCTATGGACCATGCGTGAGTTTAACTATTTTATCATAATCTTTATGAAATAAAACAATCTTGATAAAGTTTATCTAGTTTATTAAAGTTATCTTTAAAGAAAACAATCTTGATAAAGTTAATCAAGATTAATTTTTTTAAACTTATTTTATGGATTAGATCATGACCATTTTTTAGTTATGTTTCAATAATTAAAAAGTGGTATTAA